ATAAAATATTGTACGTGTATAGAAAAAATAATAGATATTTCTTTTTTTTTTTTAAAAGGTACAACGTCTGCATCCATACCCTAAAATAGTGGATATCGCTTTAAAAATAATTATGCTTAAAGGTTTCTACAAGTTAGTTGAAAGCACAAGTAGTTAGTTAACCGAATCCATGGGAAGGCCAACAACTCATTTGGAAACAATGTGGATTGTTTTACTTTTTAAAAGTTAACATTATTATGTTCTTGTGAAAAAGTAGGTGTTATTTCTGTAAAATCGTTATAAAAGTGATTATGATTTATGAATAAAAAGGAAGAATGTTTCAATAAGGAATTATATTCTTATTATTTCGCCGTTGCGTGTTGTTAAAAAAAAAAAAAAAAAACTTTAGTATAATACCACGTGAAAAGTCTCAGCAAAAATAGTGATTTTTATGTTATAAACTTTTTTTTCTTAAAACAGTAACATAAAATAAATAGGGCTTAACATTAAAGCACCTATTTTATACCTTTATTTAACCATAATTCATCACAAGTAATAAAATTATTAGGGCATCTCTAATGGAAGCAACTCATTTGAATTGCTTCGTGCATTGAAAAATGAAAAAAGTGGTCCCAAGTGTGCCATGTTAATATTAAGCAACTCAAACACAAATTTACTCCAATGGTAAGAAACTTTAAGAAATTCAACTTTTAGAATTTTTTTCTATTCATTTATGAACCAATTTTAAATTTTTATTAAAAAGGGTAATTGTACTACAATGAAAGAAAATAAATTACGAGAAAAAAATACACAATAGGTAAATATTAAAAATAAAATAAAATAATAATAAATACATAGACATTATACGAAATTAATTTTCATCATTATTATTTCCGAAACGTTCCCAAATATGTTCAATAAAATTTGCTTGAAATCTGACAAGGAACGGTTGCTTGAGGAAGCAACTCTCTCTCTTCTTCAAGCAACTCATGTTACCACGTCAGAGTCCTCCAATAATAAGAAACCGGGACTTGAATTGTTTTATGGGACAAGCAACTCCCATTGGAGTTGCTGTTAACTTTTACAATAATTGTTGTCAAATTTTTTTTTATTTTGCATTCTGTACACTCACACGCGTATCATCAACAATGTCACATGCAAGTAAGAAAATTATATTCCTCTCACCCCCCACATATCATTTTTCTATATCGATAACGATTGAAAAGGAAAAATTTCACACAACACAAAAAAAAAAAAAGTTTACTATTTCGAAATCGACCTCAGAAACCATTTCAATGAAATAAGCATTTAAGTCCACGAAAATTGTATATCTAGCAGAATTACAATAGAGAAAGAGTGAACACAAAATTCATTTTTGAAACTTGAAAGTGTAACGCAATGTGCAAACAAGTTAGTTTTCAAAAGAAAAAAAAAATGTTAAAAAGGAACGCTTCAAATCGATAATTTAAAAATAGTTTTAATTATTTTTTTTAACAAATATAGAATTTGAAATGAAAAAAGTATCCATAAATATGTTTTAATTTTTTTTAGATAGATTTTCGTGGCAGATATTTTTTACTCCTCCATACGTTGCACTTTGACATGTCACAAGCGCATCATCTTTGCCATGCATGAATGATATGTATTTATGGATAATATCCAAATTCATCTTGACATAAATAAAAAATATTTGATTTGATTAATGAAATGTATGAGTAATACTTGATTTATTATATCTTGTATGGAGATAAGGATGTGAATAGATATATATTTATCCATTATCTGTTTCTATTCTTGTCTTTATTTTAAATTTCTATAAACTTAATTTATTTATTTTTCAAAATTTACTTGAAATTTATGTAATTTTCACTCTATTTTAAATTTATGTTAGATGAAACTTAATTAATATAATTTTGTAATTGTTACTATATTTTGAAATTCTTATTTTTTATATTTTCATAAAAAATTGTTTGATTAATTTTTGAATGAATACGAGACGATGATAGGTATACTCGATATCTATCTGGGACGAAGATAAAATACAAATTTCATACTTAGCAGATATCAGGATAGGGATGAGTATAAGATACGAATTTAGAGACGAATCAAGGATATTGAAACTTGTATTTGCCCTGTCTTATTGTCATCCCAACTCTTGATCTTAACTGTTGTAGTCATGACTTTCTCCTCAACATGGTGATGACTCAACTCAAGAAGAAAGGGAGCTCTAGAGTCTAGTCATTTCATGCCTTAACTGATTGAAGAGGACAACACTATGTGCGATGAAGATGGGGGAGTCGACAAATATATGGGTGTCATGAGGGTGGCACCCAACAATGGTCATTTCTAGCAAATACATGATCACTATGATAATTGTTAGAAACAAAAAATCTTTTTTTTTTTTTACGGACAATAATGATGAGAAACACATTAAAACAACACCATAAAAGAAACAAAAGAAAGATCACACAATTTATTTTATGTGATTCAATCCATCATACCTATGTCTATAAAGATGTTCATTATTTATCTCAAAATGTATTACATGTATCCTAAAAAGCCTCCTTTCAAGATTTGTGGGTAAAACTTGAAAATACTTTCCTCACAAGTTTTTTTAGTAGAACTTGGAAACCCCTTCATCACAAGTTTTCTACAAAAACTTGAAATCCTCATTCACAAGTTTTATAGTGAAATTTGAAAACCCTCATTTACAAGTTTAATAGAGAAACTTAGAAATCCTCTTTCATATAACCTCATCTTTCATTTAAGGTAGTGACCTACTCTCTCATTTAAGATGGTGACCTTCTCTACAAGTCGGGTGCATTTTTTCAATTGAAGAGTTTTTATTTATTGACCTTACATCTTAATCTTAAAAGAGAAAATAAATATCTAAAATAAATACAATATATTTCAACTATAAATAATATCCTAAAAAATCAAATATCTTTAGAAATCTAAATAATATTTCAGATATTTAAATTTAAAATTTTGAATTTTTTTTTGTTCACGTGTCTCTCATCTCTAGTTTCCTTATGGTTCTTGCCATGATGATCTTCACCATTGTATTTAGATGACCATTCTTACACCCTTGTTTTCCTCATCTCAACGGCTTCATCTTCTATGGGAAGCAACACACCTTATTGATGGATGGGATAGAGGAAACAAAACACCAAACACATATAGTATGAAGGATACGTTTAGAAGAAGACCCACGATAAAGAACTTGAAGACAAATATGGAAACTCATTTATAACTTTAAATGTATAATTTTATATATATGTTTAATAAATCTTAACCATTCAATTTTTAATTTATATATCCAACATGTATAAATGATGGTCCATTCATGTATCACATAATGTAGTACTTTAAAATAATGCTTCATCTGGTGTCACCTAACTTCCTACTTCATGGTAGAACTATTAGTTAAAAAGTATCTGAATGAATTTACATTTTTTATGGCAGTTATTATTAAGAAAAAAAAAATCTTACATGAAAGATCATGTTAGGTGGTGCATAGGTAGAGTAGCAAACTAAAGTATCAACTTTGTTGAAACTAAAGTATCTTACGGAAAAGTAAGTTTAGTAATAAACTATGGTATTTATATCCAATTCTATCACTATTGTACAAATTTGCCCAATAATATCAACTTCAATAGTGATTAATTGTTCAAGGAATGATTCAATCGAAAAGGTTATACCAAAATTCACTATAAGAAACAAAGGGAACTAACGAAACTAATTAACTACAATTTTATTTAAGAAAAGAAAGAAAAATGGTAAAAAAAAAAAAACTTACATAGAATACTCGAAACTGAAAATCATCAAAAAGATTAGGCAAATTGGCAGATTGAGAATTTGTGTAAAAGTGTTTTTTTAACCCAATTTGAGTATTTAAGGAAATTAATTACAATGAACACTTAATATAGATCATACACGTGTATATACACACTTATAACACCTAATAATTAACATTAACTACTTCATAATTTTTTTTAATGTAATTGAAAAATAAATCTCCTTAGAAGTAACTTTGTCACTTCAATTTACATTTGTAATGAGACATTCTCTCTTCAAATTCTGCCAATATTTTGACTCATTTTCTTCAATATATATACCCTTCAAAGTAATTTGAAAAATCACCTATAATAAAATAATAATAATTTGAATTCCTTAATTAAATTATCTAAAGTTTAAATCTTAATTTTAGATATAAAATATATTATGTGCAAAAACAATATCCATCATATAAATGTTTGTAATTCTCAACAAAAATTAGTTACTACTTTTAATAGGGAATATTTCATACAAATATAATAGTTTAAAAAAAAGTCTTATATATTTTTAATATTTATCAATTTTTGATATGAGTTTAATTACTATTAACTATAGAAATAAACTTATTTTAAAGTATCAATCAATCAAAATTCATGTTAAATAATATTTTTAAGTTGCATCAACAAACTTATTTTATATAGTAAATTAAAATTGAATGATAGCGTAGAAAGGTACCATAATACATACAAGATTCTGTCTTTCAATATATATACATATATAAATAAAGGTGTTATTTTAGTTTTTCTTGAAAAACATAAATAAGTAAGTAAGCAATAAGTGAAGAAAATTTGAATATTTTTGTTCATTTCAATTTTCTTTTAAGGTAAAACTAAAAAGGGGTTTGAAAGTTAAATTAAAAAAAAAAAAAAAAAAAAAAAACAACGAACTCAGTATATAAGCGTATGTTTTATAATAATTTTTTCCTATGAAATTTGTTCATATTATATATGTGACACAACAAATTTTACTGTGTGCTATTTAGAAAGCCGCTAAAAAATTAGAAGTAAGAAAATTGTTAAAAATAACGTCGCCATTTCCAGAAATGAACACCTGTTATTTAATTAACAAAGAAAAAAAGTGGCCCATTGTGTGCAAACCAGAGACGGGCCGAATGGTAACGGGCCTGGCCCAAGAAAAGGAGAAGTGCTATCGGCGTGGGCTATAAAAGAGGAAATTAGGGTTTGGCAAGGCAAAGAAATCGCAGCAGAGCATAGGAGAGTAGAGGAAAACCCTAGTGAAGAAGATGGTGAAGTTCCTGAAGCCGAACAAGGCGGTGATCGTCCTGCAGGGGCGCTACGCAGGGCGCAAGGCGGTGATCGTGAGGACCTTCGACGACGGAACGAGGGAGCGCCCCTACGGCCACTGCCTGGTCGCCGGCATCAAGAAGTACCCGAGCAAGGTCATCAAGAAGGACTCTGCCAAGAAGACCGCGAAGAAGTCTAGGGTTAAGGCCTTCGTGAAGCTCGTGAACTACCAGCACCTCATGCCCACGCGCTACACGCTCGACGTCGATCTCAAGGACGCTGTTACTCCCGATGTTCTCGCTTCCAAGGACAAGAAGGTCACCGCTCTCAAGGAGACCAAGAAGCGCCTCGAGGAGAGGTTCAAGACTGGCAAGAACAGGTGGTTCTTCACCAAACTCAGATTCTGATTTTACCATGCTTCTTTTCGCCTTCTTTTCGCATATCTTATCGAGACTCTTATTGTGCTTTTAGATTTTGTCGTGTCCTTTTTTATTAATATATTTGTCTTTTGATAATTTACGAGGATAATGAATGCGAACATTTTTGATAGTGTGGATTTCGTTTAATCGTCTCCGTTTCGTAAGGTTTTAATCGCGATGATTGCGTGGTTTGAATGTTTCTCAAGTTTCTGTTAACTCTTTTTGTTTTTTTTTTATTTTTACTTTGGCGTGATTTTTAGGGTTTTGATGATTCTGCGATTGGTTCTCAATTCTTCAATGTCGTAAATCGTGATAAACAAACATGAAATTTAGAATAAATTGGAAAGTTTAGTTTATTTATATGATAGAAAGTAAAACCGAATAGTTGATCACTGAGGCGTGGACTTGACATTCGATGTCGACTCTTCTGTCATGGTGTAGATTTTGTTTCTGTGGATTTTCTTTACTGCTTCCTTAGAATTTGTGAACCTCGCCTCTTAAGGTAATACAATTAACAATTTCAGCTTGTATAAACCGATTAAACTAATCACGAAGTTCGGAGCTTGTAAACTATGTAACTATCAGAATGAGGTTTTGTTGGCCAAGGAAGATCGTGATGCATGGAAAATTTATTTTATGATTAGGGCATCCCCTCACAAAATTAGGTATTTTAGTCTCAAATATTGTATACAAGAGATTAAGAATTGTTTTATTTTTTAAATCCTTGTATACTTTTATTTCTCAAGAAGTTTAATGTCTCTAGGCTTCATCATAGTTTGAGAAAATATTTATATAATCCAGAAAAGACGATTTGGTTAAGGTGTACTCTAGTTATGAGCCCAAAAAATATTCTTGAAGGTAGAGTAACAAAAAGAGTTCAGGTTGATGGCTTGTAGCTCAAGTCCACTTGAGATCTAAACTCAAATAGCTCTGGAATGAACAATGCATGATTTCAAATTGCGACATTAGAAATATGACACAGTACTTCACAAACGGCTTTGGGGTTAACAATGCTTGTTTTCGAATTATCACTTCTAAAAATATGACTTCAAACGCATGAAACAGATGAATTCTAGGGTGGACAAGTATAATGCTGGTCATGTAATTTATACTGTGATATTGTTTTATACCTCTGGCTTTAATAGTATACCGTTTGTGGCAAATTTTTTCACTTTAATTTAATTTAATTTTTATTTCCTTTACCCCCTCCTCTCTCCTTATCCTACAATTAATCGTCATTCTACAAGGCACAATTGGAAGTTGCTGTAACTTCGACTGGGCTACCCGTTCACAAATGCACCCTATGAACAAATCTTACATGGCCTCACTTACCACATCTCCATCCCAAGGAGATGTTCCAGAGACCATTTCCAGATCCAACAATCCGAGCACCACACCAAGTTTTCTCTTCATGCACAAAAAATTCCCTCGTAAATTTTGCAATTAATAATATTTTTGTATCATTGATTGAGAAACAATTAAGAATGTTGGTAATGGATATAAGAGGCCATGACTTAATGAACTGAAGGTGATGAACGAATGAATGAGGCCACTGCGAATTCGCTGAGAAATCTGGAAAGTCATGGCGCACGTTAGTGAGGACCACCGCTACTATGCTTATTACGCCTAGGGCGTGATCAGATTTTCCTCATCCGTCCAAAACCGGAATGACCATGAATCAATACTTTTGAATGGTATGATTCAGATAAGTTTAGAGTGGGTTCATATGGTCTGGTTCAGTTCCAATTCTTTTGATCCATCAAAACTCGAATCCGAATGACTAATAGTGTCTATATACCAATTGTGAATCACTACTTAAACAAATTCTGTTCTAAGAAATTCTTGTGACTGTCGTAGAGAAGTTGACAAAATACCTATTTCCAATTCGAAGACGAAGTATGGCGTTGTAACCGATTATTATGCTACTACTAGAATCTCATTGGCGCCACGATTCTTGGAGAATCACGTAGGACATGTCCTTTTTCAGAGGAACTTTACAAGTCACACTTTTGTTATCCAAAGAAACCAATTACAAGCACCCTTAATTTACCACTGATAAGCTCTAGTGACTTGCAATTTATTGCGGTTTGGAATTTTTGGGTCCAAATCCGTCTGAACCCATCCACTGATAAGGTCTACTACACTAAGTCAAGTTACACGAGCAACAATTACTGCAAGTTGTCAGAGGGTCGACGGCAACAGAAATGACACAATGGTGAGTGGATGCTATTGGAAGTGTGGAATAAGGTCAGAGGATGAAAGGGACATGAAAAATAAAATAAAATAGAGAGAAATTTGCTACAGGTGGTGCATTCTTAAATTTGATAGGAAGTTACAATCATAATATTAGTTATCACCATGAATCACATTTAACGTTGGTGCATCTTAGAATCTGTCTGAAACAGAACATATAAACTATTGAGTGATGCAAGTTTAAAGAATTTTCAACTTCGCAATGCATTCGTCGTCACAATATAGCATAATCCTATACAAGTAAATGCATATTTTCTTCTCTCGTTGAATTTTTAAAATACAATCAAAACATGACTATTGTAACACTTCAATATTAAGCTAAGACATTGACAACGGACTATGCCTAAAAGAGTCTCTAAGCAGCCGCAGTTCAATTAGTTTGCACTTCATCATCGTCCACTTGGCAATCACCATTCTCACCACAAAATCAAAGTCAGTCATTTCTGAAACACAGAAAGCATAGTTAGCCAAAATTTAATATGTAACAATCAACTTTTATGCAGCCCAGAGAACCTAGTGAAGAAGCAGATCTGAAGAACCATCTCAATCGATTCAAGCAAAATGTTTCTTTTGGTGGGGAGAGGGGGACCTCGGCATAAGTCAAGTGATCAGGGTGAGTGAAAATAACAAAGCAAGAATGTTTTACACATGCATATAATAGTAAATTTGTAGGTTTAATATGTTTGACCTGTCCATTTATAAGCAAACAAATGAAACAATTTACAATAGATCAGTAATCACATCCACAACAGAACATTACAACTTGAAAAGGCACCACTGTTAAACATAATGGAAGAATGGATATAACAGCCTCACGGTGCATGTATCATATTTACAAAGTTAAACTGAGGGATTACTTGAAGAATTTCTTTGTGATATAGTCCAGTCGCACAGCGCCAGCACCTATAAAGCTCATCAGCATTTTTCCCGTTCTGAAAGAAATGTTGGCTGCAGCAAGGTAAAACCTTTAGGAGGAGGCATATTACAGTAATGAAACATTTAAATTAAGCCAGATAGGAACCGGAGATGCAAGTTTGTAAAGGCAGACATTAGCCCAATGACACTGAAATTAAGAGGGAGAGAGGCCATATGTCAATTTATTTACGTATAGACAACTGAACCACTCAGTTTCAACCAGTGCATGCCATTATTTACAGAAGAAACCAATTACAAGCACCCTTAATTTACCATGAAAGTTCTCAAGCAAGGGAAGAGATAAAACCTTAAGTTCAAGTTATGGCCTGAAACTGAAATTACCAAAAATCTTCAGCGACTCCATAATTACCACTACAAATTGATATTAAAATCAATGGTACTGTAGCACACTTATTCAATAACATAAATCTGGGCACATTTAAACGGATAAGAAGACCCATCAAAGTCGATTCACAATGAAAATATAGCTTACCTAGTTAGAATGTAATTTATACAGATTATAACTAGTTTTTACAATATGAGCATGACATCTATATGATCAAAAGTCTTGCTACACTAAATTTATCCTGCAAGGAGGTCTATCATGGCCTTATTTTGTAGAAACACACATCAAAAGCAAACAAGAATTTAAACAGTTGATGCAATTTATCATGTTTACAAATTGATTGATCCTGTTTCAATGACAAAAATGTTCATATAAGTTGATATTAAGAGAAATAGATGTTTGTAATTATCTTGAACATTCATCAGAAGATTAAAAGCGTGATAGTTTTTACTCTAGCAAACAAAATAACAAGCTATCACAGTAAGTACCAATTCTTCCCCTAAACACTTTTTAATTTACTTGAAAAGTCACAAAATAAAATAGTGACAAATAATTAAAGTTGGAAGCTACCTCATTTCAGTTTAACTTTCAATATTGTTGCCCAGTCTGTTTTCAATACTGTCCCGTACAGGAAAATTAGCAAACTGCATTCATGAACTACTCATCTGAATTCCAATGTGCTTATAGCGAAAGACACTTCCAAATGTATTCTTCCCCCTCCTTCATGGCCTGGGTATGATGTCACTTTCCGACCAAATTTGTTGCCACCTCCTGCTTTCCCCATTCGAAACTCATTTCCATACATACTGATGTAGAAACAAAAGTCTATGCTATGAAATAGGATCAAATTGATTTATGTTTCTACAAAAGAGCTACATCCTTGTATGGTACAACTTTTCACAATTGTCTTAATATCTAGGTGTTTGAAGATTTTGTGATTATACACAATTTTTCACAAAATTAAAGATCATGACTAGTGTTCCTGAAATTTAAAATGAATCAACAATTTCAATTTATATGTTATAACATGAAACTGAATTCTGAATTGTGACGTGGCATGGACTTTATATTTGACGTCAATTCTTCTAACATGGTGTAGATTTTGTCTTTCTGTGGATGTTGTTGATCTCCTGCGTAGAATTTGTGAACCTCGCCTCTTATGGAAATCCAACTATATCCCGGTTCCTTTTTAATGCCCCGTTCTTTCATTGTGTCTCGCAAGCTAACCCCATCTTGGTACAGTCCTGATTCTATGTATGTGTTAGACAATAGAACATAGGTAGAAGGATGTTGTGGTCGAGTGGAGAGAATCTTTTGAGCTGCGGTTTCTCCCAATTTGGTATTTCCGTGAATTCTACATGCTCCTAATAAGGTTTGCCAAACCATTTCATTTGGCTCAATTGGCATTTTACTTATGAACTCCACTGCTTCATTCAACTGGCCAACACGGCCCAAGAGATCAACAACGCAAGCGTAGTGTTCCATTTCAGGTACCACACCATAGTTGTATTCCATTTGATGGAAGATTCTCAGGCCTTCCTCCACCATTCCTCTGTGGCTGCAGGCAAAAAGGATGCACAGTAACGTGACAGCATTGATCTTTGCATCTGACTGTTCCATCTTTCTGAAGAGTTGGAGGGCATCTTCAACGAGACCATGTTGAGCATAAGTGGATATTATGGCTGTCCATGAAACTGTATCTGGGTTAGAGATCCTTTCGAAAATCTTCTTTGCCCCTGTTAGATTGCCACATTTGGCATACATGTCAATTAGAGCACTTTCTATGCAGGTTTCAGTATCCATGCTGGCCTTGCATGTCAGACCATGAATTTGCTGGCCAAATTCTAGTAAACAAAGACCTCCACATGCGGTAACCACACTAGAAAGGGTAAAATGATTGGGCACAAAGCCTTCATTGCGCATCTGCGAGAAGATGGCCAAGGCTTTTCCCCATTCAGAACATTGGCAATATGCAGTCACCATGGTTGTCCAAGATACTATGTCTTTCTCTTCCATTCTATAAAATATGTTCTCTCCAGCTTCAAGTGAGTCACATTTGACATATGCATCAGCAAGGGCATTGGTTGCACTAATCTGCATTGCATCAAATCCACATTTCAAAGCCATCCCATGAGTCCCTCTCAAGGATTTCAGACACTTCAAAGCAGCAATCGAGTTGAACACACAACAGAATGTGTAAACATCTGGTTTGATATCATTTTGGCACATTCTTGTGAATAGTTGCAAAGCCTCTACGTGAGAACCAGCTTGTGAATAACCCGTTATCATTGCATTCCAAGGCGTGTTAACAAGACAACCAGAGAACTTTGATTCGAAAAGAACTTGCGCATCAGACATAGACCCACACTTGGAGTACATATCAATAAGAGCTGTCCCAACCAAAGTATTGGAATCCAATCCCAAATTAGAAGCATAGCTGTGAACTTGGTGACACTTGTGAATGTCACCTAACTGTCCAACTGCCTTGGAAACACTTACAAAGGTGAAATTATTAGGTGTGACCCCTACTTCAATCATGTTCATAAAACAATCAAATGCTTGTAGGTGTAAACCGTTAGAGGTAAACCCTGAAATCATTGCATTCCAAGAGACAATGTTAAGCTCTGGCATAGTGTTGAACACCTTAACTGAACTCTCACTCTCCCCCAACTTTGCATACATGTTAAGAAGTGAAGTACCGACAACAGTATGCATTAGAAAGCCCGTCACAACAACGTGAGCATGCACCATCTCACCCAACCCAACCGAATCTAACCCCACACATGACTGCAACACGGCAGAGAAAGCAAAGCCATCCGGCAACACCCCTTGGTCCAACATCATGCAAAAGAGTTCCACCCCATCGCGGTAGTAGCCATGTTCATTGGACGCAACAATCATGACGGTCCAAGAAAACACATTTCTGTGAGACATTCCATCAAACACCTTGCGGGCAGCTTCGTAGTCATTGCATTTAGAGTAGGCGTGAGCTGCGTGATTCAGAAGCACCAACAAGTCGCGGTCGACAAAACCTGACTTTAGAACGTGCCCATGAACGCAATTTGCATGCTTTAGAGACCCACTTTCGTCGCAGGACTTTAAGAGGTCGATGAGGGGTTGAATACGGGACTTGGTGAAGCTGCTTCCATGGCGGTTTTTCGAAAGCGATGGAGTCTGCGGCACAGAAACTATGGGTGGTGGGTGGTGTGAATGATGATGAAGAGTGGCTACTTTGTTTGCGGAAGCATGAGGAAGAGGTTGGTGCACGCAGTGTGCAATGGAGAAGCTCATGCTACAACTCGTTCGGACCCGGAATTCCTCTGCTTCTTATCTAAACTAGCGGCTATGCTGCTCAAAATATTCAGTTTAAAATTAAGATATAACAACGTAACTTTTACATGCGAATCCAATTGAAAGTTAAAGATAGGATAAGTGTGTTGATTTTATAATGATTAAATATTATAAATAATTATTTATTTTTATAATAATAAAAAGTACTATAAAAAATGATTTTGATTAGTTGATTATCTAAAATATTACACTTTCTGATTTAAACAAACAACAATAACAGAGAGAAAAAAGTTCAATGACTCCATTCATTTAATAGAAATCAAAATATTGGTTACATTGTTCCTCTCGAAGCTCCAACTCTGCAACCTTCAACTATCATGGATCTGTATGTATACAGAACATTAACGAAGATTGAAAAAAAAACACACAAAAGGACTGAAAATGCTAAAAGTTACATTCATTGAAATCATTTCTTTTATTTATTTCTCTAACTTACATTAATTTCATTCATTTTCTACGCAGTTGAAAAGGATATCAAACTATTTTTTTTATATAATCATAATATTGATACAAGTATTAAATAGTGATTAATTTCTACCAGAAATAGTAAATACATATAAAATGAATATTTTTCTCTTAATATAATCTATTTTTCATGATTGTTTTTATGAAGAAAAAAAAGAGATTTTTGGCTAATTGAAATAACAACTAAAATTTGTATTAAAAAATCTGAAAATAAAATAATTTCATATGTTTGTGATTACTTTCAACAATTTGCTTTTAAAGCTATTTTATTACATAAAATTGATTTTTGACTAAAAACCTATTTTAGTCCCTTATAATCATTTTAGTATATTTAAATAAAATTAAATATCTCAAAAAAAATCAAAAATTACTCAAACAAAAATTAATTTTGATTATCATCGTTTTATAATTAATTAATTATTAAAATGATCTAATTTTCATAGAGTTAGCAAATAAATCTCTTAATTGACATTTAAAGTTTGTGTTTTAAGTCTTTACATTAGTTCATTAAAACCTTGAGGTGTTCAGAGCCTAAGGTTAAGAAAGTATTCGCAAGATTTTAGCCTTAACAGGCTAAAGAAAGGTAGAATAGTCTAGAACGGTAGAAAATCAAGAAAAAGAAAAACCCAAGAAGTTCAGGTTGGTGACTTGGAGAAGCTCAAGTCCACCTGAGATGAAACTCGAATTGTACTTCACAATACTAGTACTATGTCGTCCGGAAAAACAAAGCATGACCTCAAATGATCGCTTTTGATAAATGACGCTCAAACACCGTGAAACAAAACATACAAACTATGACTCCAATAAAAACTATGTACAACGTAGAATGGTGTAACTTCTCAATATTCCTTCCATATAAGCATTTTTATTAACAAATATCCCATGTGCTACACAGCTGTGCATGTTCTTGCTTCTCATGGAAATTATAAAAATACAATTAAATGATGACTGTAGGTAACAATTCAATACTAAGCAAAGGAATTGACACCAGACCAGACGAAGGAGAGACGCCTAGATAGTCACAAAGCGGCAGCAGGTCAATCATTTTTGCAATCATTGTCCATTCAGCAATCGTCATTCCCGCCTTAAAATCAAAGTCAGTCCTTCCTGAAACAGAGAAAGCTTAGTTAGCCAAAATTCAAGGGAGAAGCAGAAGCATCTCAGTTCATTCAACCAGAATATTTCTTTTGGGAGGTGGGGGGATCAATATAGTATAACTCGAGTGGTCAAGGTGGGTGAAAATTACAAAGCAAGAATGTTTTACACATGCATATAAGTAATTGTAAAATTCAAGGTTTGAATATGTGTGTGACTACCTAAATATATAATTACAAAAGGAAAACAAATGTAAGCAACAATATACAACAGATCAGTAATCACATCCAAAATAGAACATTACAACTTGAAAAGCCACCAATGTTAAACCTAATGGTAAGAAGGGAAATTAACCGCCTCACAGTGCATGTATCATATTTACAAAGCATAATATGAAGTTAAACTCTGAAGGATTACTTGAATAGTTTCTCTGTGATATGGTTTAATCGTGCAATATCAGCACCTATAAGCTCATCAGCCTTTTTCCCATTCTGAAAGAAATGAAGTGTTGGCTGCAGAAGGAAAAAAACTAGTTATAACCTTAAGAACGAAATATATTACCGTGAAGAAACATTTAAGATACAAACTTGCAAGGGCAGGCATTAAAAAGCAAATTCTAGTATGTCCACTGAAATTTTAATAAAAATGAGAAATGGCATGTGTCAATTTATTTAAATATAAACAACTGAACCACTCAGGTTCAATCAGCGCATGCCATTAGCACAGAAGAAACAAGTCATAATCACCTTAATTTACCATGAAAGTCCTGAAGTAAGGGAAGAAATAAAATCTTAAGTTTAAAACATGAATTCCACATTACCAAAAGCCTTGCAGAGATTTAAGGTCTGAAATTGCCAAAACTAAAGTAACACCTTAATTACAAATTGATATTCAAAGCAAGGCTACTGTATCATACTACATAAATCTGTGCACATTCAAACTTACACATCAAAATCAGTTGACAATAAAACATAAACTAACTTATTGAGCACGTATTTATACAAATTACTAGGAGTTGGCATGGGTCCAAACCAACCCAATAATCTGATAAATCCGAACCAAACTGAAGGAAAAAATTGAAATTTGTTCAGACTATTAGATTAGAAAATTGCAAATTCAATCAATACAATTTGGACCCTCTGATTTTAACAGGCAAATTTGTAATATTGAATGTTTTAAGTTAGTACTATGTGATGTTAGATGTTTTAAATTTACAATGTTTTAAGTATGTAATGTTTATCAGTTAGACTTGATGATGTGCACTATGCTTTACAAGTTGCCAAATGTATTTTTTTTTTTTTACATTTTTCATTATTTTTAATAATAAATCAAATCATCCGATTGGATCACCTCAGATTGGAGACTAAGAAACAAAAAAATCAAATCAATCTAAATCAATTAAAGTTGATCTGTTTTGATGAGAATATGCCTCAAATCTTGATTCAATCCAACTTGTGTCCACCCCGACAAATTACAAGTAGAACTTCGAATATGAGCATGACATCTCTGAGGAAAAGTCTATTCTATATTTAGCTTTCACCATTTCATTAATGAAATAATAATCCACAGAAGGAGCTAAAGGAAGACATAAGAAAAAATAACACAATAAAAATTATTGAAGCAATACCAAAAAGGAGGAAAACAAACAAAAAGAGACATGCATTGATAAAAATAGACAACAGCTGGAAATTGCACAGCCATATTTCTCTAGTGAATGACTAACATGATTCACATGCTACAAGCAAATTATATTGTATGCATGTGTGAAAAAGTTTTTATCACCACAAATTGTATCTGATCAAATAAATTTATAACAATGTTAGATAAATTACCACAGATGTAATCTGCAACTTGCCCAATGTGCCTTGAATTGCTTCCTGGTATAGATGGAAAGAAAGTAAAAGTTTAAGCCACCTTAATACATTATTGATGCCATAAAGCAAGAAATATTTTAAGTCAATGCAAAAACAATACAACATACTTTTAACATGCAAAAAACTAATGGAAAACCAAACACAAAAGGGAGAGTTGATGATTGCAAAATATGTCAATATCTTTTACTCAATTTAGGAAATTATCGGGCATATGTTATGCTTTAGAGTCCTGTTTTTGTCAAAAATGAGTATTCTAAATTGATTTTGTTTAATTAAAATAGTTCTTTAAGTTTAAGGTGTTTTTTATGCTTTTTGTTACTGTTTGAGGCACAGGAAAAGAAGGAAGGAGCAGTGGCCAACAAGAGACTTAAGGAAGCAACTGAACATGTCAAGATCACTTAAGCACGCCAGATTGGTCACTTAAGCGAGACAAGACCAAGAGCAGTCTGAGCATCAGGAGCTCTCAAAGTGAGAGCAAAGCTCTACTCTTAGCAACTATACTTGCTTGAGTGAGTCATCTCAACCTCTTAAGTGAGCAAAAACCAAAGCACTACTAGGAGCACTCGTAAAGTACTCACCCAAGTGCATCATCAAGTAGCTTTGAGTGAGTGGAAACCGCAAGCTAACCTTAGATGTGTCAACAAGCTTGCTTAAGGGAGCTAACCATTGCCACTTAAGCGACGCTATGCCAAAAAAAGTCCATTAAGATTTTTATAAAAATAGGGTTTGAGGGAAAAGAAAAAGCACTTTGCATTTAGCTTATTTCAAAGAGATTAGAGAGAGTAAAAGTGAGAACATTAGTGATCACGGGGTTCTCAACAATCTCCTTCTATACCCTTGTTCAATTTCCTTAGCCATGAGCAGCTATGCCTCTTGTTTTCATTCTTCTCTTAATGCTTGTTATGACTTGATCACCTATTGCATGATCCCATAGATTTATCTAAGGTTGGAAAACCCTTTTAAAAATACGATCTGGGCAAGAATACTAATATCACTTATTACTAGGAATAAAATAAGAATTATTAGTCAACTTTAGGTCTATGATCTTAATTTGGGTTGCTTAATAAACTTTACCAAGGAATTAACATTTTTATAAAGGAACTCATAATTTTTCTCCTAAGGGATTAAGGTTTAAATAATTTCATTGGTTGTTGAATTAACTCAATAATTACTGAAATTGAATAAAAATTGGGAAGAATGTGTGAAGAAGACATCTCTTATCATAAATTTTCAATCATCTTTTAAATTTGTTTTCTTGTGCAGGAACCCTAAATTACTATCTTAATTTTTATACATTCATCAAACAATAATCTTCTAAATCCACCTAATTATCGTTAAAATTAGATTAATCAATGATAGAGTAAATTCTTGTGGATTCGATACTTGGACTTCTGTCCATTTACTAATGAGACAATTGGTAGGCTAGCCTAATGTCTAACAAGAACCCCAAAAGAAAATTAGTGGCGGGCTAAATTTGACACAGTAGCAACCAAACAAAAAGTGCAAAGCATGTTAACTTTTTAAAATTTGATTATATAATGTCCTTGTTGCAAGCATTTAAGTTTATATGATATTGTTAAATAATAACGTTTCTAAGAATGTCTTGAACTTGTGGTGTAATTTTTAATATATTAAAACAAATAGATAATGAGTTAGCAACTATAACATAACTAAATATGTCTTCCATTGCTCAAGAAATATTTAGACTTATCTGGTACATAAATTTTAAGCTATTTACAATTATTTTGTATATCTTATTGAAAATCCAATTTAAATTAAAACTTAAAAGTGGCCCTCCAAATTCCAGTATATAATTCGCAGTTTGGAACCACACATCACACTCCAAATTCCAGTATGTCATGATTCGAAACCACACATCACACAGCAAAATATATTTCATAATTCATACCTGATCAATGTCAATCTTATATGTTGTTACATGAGGGTACTTCTTGCTAAGCTCCCCAACTATAGGAGAAATAAACCTGCCTAAACAGAAATATACACCAGGAAAATTGTGAGAGTTTCACTTTGCAATAAAGACAGCAAGAAAAAATACACAAACAATGAAGCATGAACACCACCTCTCAGCAGACTGTCAATGGGCATAACATGTGACACCCACATAATTTTTACACCAGCATAATGGCAGTTTTAAGAAAAGACTAATTACAACCATAACAGGGGAACCAATCGGGATGCAAAATAAAGTTTTCAATCCAGATATCTCATGGATATCCAGTTCGCAAGCCTGCTATCAGAATATCCGGTTTTTAGTATATCACAAAGCTGAAGATCCCCGTGTGTGTATAATTTGAAGAGTAATTTACCGTTGGGTATCATAAAGCAAATATTTCTTTTAATTAAATTATATGATCACCGTCGGAATCTCATTGTCATTTTTTCAATGGTGATGAACCGCAGTAAAACACAGAAGAATTCATTGCAAATATCCGAGTGAAGAAAAGAAAAGGCACAGCAACTTACAAGGCCCACACCAGACCGCAGTGAAATAGAAGATGGCGTGCAGCGAGTCATCTATTCATCAGAAAGACCAAATCAGCCCTCTGAATATATTCATCGAGAGTCGATTTGCATAAATGTTACTAAAAAGAAGAACGAGATAACAGGTGTGAGAAAACGTACCTCGAACTTTGGTAAGGATGTTGTTGAACTCTTCCTCGGAATTGATGAGGACAACGTCGGAAGGAGCTGGAAATGAGTAAACATTAGAGTTAGCGAATTGAGGAGGTTAATGAAGAGGTGAAAGTGAGAGAGGGACCTGCGGCGGAGGAGAGGGAGTGGGAGTGGTGGAAGGAGGGGAGGAAGGAGAGCTGAGAGGAGGCGACGGCGGTGGCGAAGAGAGAGGGTTTGGATGGGAGCGAAGGAAGACGGTGGTGAGCGTTGAAGAAGATTGGGCGAACCCTATTCTTTATCGCATGCCCAACTGCCAAGGATCGAACCACCCACATTCTCGCCATATCCTTCCTCTCTTCTCCTGCTTGCCTTTTCTCACTTCACAAACTTTCAAACAATAAACGCTTTTCTTTATCCCCTAGGGTTTACTTCCTTACGACGCATTCTCTCTAAAACATCAAACGAAATTGCGTGGGAATTTATCCAATTTAGATTCAACATTCTTTTTTTAATTTATGTAAATACGTAAAAGTTTATTTTTAGTTTCTCATTTTCTAAACATTAACTTTGAGAATTTTCATTTTTAAATGTGAAAAAGTTTATGTATGTCATTAATTTTGTTAATCAAATTTAATGATGCTAATTAGTTAGTAGTAGACATGTTAAAAAAAATCATATTTTGTAAGTTCACATAAATCTTAATTTTAAGAAACTTGTAAATGTTAAGTATTAGATACTCGAAAAAAGGTTAATATGTGTAGATATTTTCTGAAGAGTGAAAGAAAATAAAATACTATCTAATCGGAGAGCGAAGTTTTTTTCTTTTGCAGAAAAAATGACTTTGGTTTAATTAGTCATATCGACACTTCTAACTTATACTATGTAATATCTACATTTCCAAATGGGAAGGCGACACAAGCTTTAAAGATCTCTATATTTTTAAAAAGGTTATGATTATGAAATTGGGTTTGAGCATTATTAGTAATTCAAATGCCTTGTGGGTTAAAGTGTTTGAAGAATAAGTATTGTGCTACTCACTCTTCCATCCCACATGTTTAGAAAAAGGAACCCTTATTAAAGGTATGAAAAACCATTATAGTTACTTTAAAGGATATTACGTGTGCTAGTAGGTGGTTCATTAGGAATGGTCGTCAAACCTCATTATGGAATGAAAGTTGGTTGCCACTAGGGATTGTTCTTAGGGATTTCAACATCAATGTCCCTAATACTAAGTTATAGAAGAATGTTTATCATTATATCAACGCTGATGAGAGGAAGAATCTTAGGTGTTTGTCCAAATGGGTTCCAAATTATATATTTATGAAAATCTCATCATTCTTCCATGTTTTTGCTTATTTACTTGATGATTGTTTTGTGTCTTTTCCACCAAAACAACTTATGAATTCTTAAGTAACACAACTGATCATCCCCACGTGTCGATCTGGATTGATATTTGGAAGACTTGTATTCCTCACAAATCTAAATCCTTTTGTGGAAAATTGTCATGGAGGCCTTGCCAACTAGGAGTTACCTTTTTGTGGTTGGGACATTGTGGGAACTGATATTTGTCCTATATTTAACTCTTTTGGAGAAACTAATCTCCTTATTTTGATAGACTATCCCTTTACAAATGAAGTTTGGTTCAATTTGGGAATCCATTCTTCTGACACTTTTTTCTAGCCCAAAGAGGTGCAACGATGGATTTCCTTCAATGCTAACCATAGTCATAATCATCATTGGCATTACTAGTTTATTACTTTTGCTACTATGGCTTATAATCTCTAGTCGGCTAAAAAGAAAATGGTGTTCTAGAATTTTCACTTTTCCCCTGATTTTATCTTTAAGCAATCTCTTTTAAAAACTAATACTGTCTCAAAGGCCTCTGATGTATAAGCTCACCCCCAACGTCTTACTCCATCATATTACACTAATCATGTCTGTTGGGATAAATTCTCTCCTCCTTGGATCAAGTGTAATGTTGACAGCTCTTTAAAAAAGGAAACCCAATGAGCCTCATGCACAAGTGTTTTTTGTGACAACCTTGGAAATTGGGAGCTTGGGTTTGTGCGAAAACCTTGGATCATCTGAGGTCCTCATTGTGGAGCTTTGGGGAATCCTCTTCGTACTTCAGATTGCGTAGAATAAGGGTTATTGCATGTTTTTATTAGAGAGTGACTTTAAAGTTGTTGTGTACTTGGTCCTTCATTGTCAAAATCTTCATCACCCTTGTTGGAGTATGATTTCCAACATCAAAGATTGGCTAGCTAATGATTTGGAGGTTCATTTTTACTATATCTTTAGGGAGGCCAATGTTGTGGTTGATTAACTTGCTACTTGGAGTCATTTCGTCAGTTCGGATACCATGGAATGTCCTCTACCTCTGGGAGAAGTTTATCTTCCTTTACTTCATGATATATTAGGAGTTAAATATTCTCGTTTAGTTTTGTTCTAGTTTCTGGGGCTTGACCCCACTTAAAAAAAAAAAGATGTTTAACATTGAAATTTATTATAAGATATATAAAAAATTAATAATAAAAATACATTTCTTTCTTGAGAAAAATATAATTTTTTAAATAATTATATTATTAGTACAAAATATCTATTAATTTCACTAATTAATCTCCGATATCCCTAATCGATTATTGAAACTTTTTTTTTCAATCACCTTTTTTAATACTATTTTGAAGAAGAAAAAAAAGTATATTTTGAAAGAGTGACGCTATTTTCTTTTTCATGTTTTATTTTATAATTTTTTTATTTCTTGATATAGTATTCATTCATGTTTATCGCGAACTATTTTCCTATCTTTCTTTCATTAAAAAAATCACTGTGAAAAGAAGTAAGAGTGTAAGAAATTATTGATTTTATAAAATGTAATGTTAAGCAGGATAACTGATATTAAAATTTCTCCAACAACTTTTGCCCATTCAGTTTTTATTCTTTTCCAATTTTACTTGTTCAATGTCCTCTATTTTAAAATATAATAAGAAAAAACCTTAAGAAATTTTTATTTTATAAAATAAAAGCATAAATAATTATCTTCATGTTCGGTTACAGGTTATCTTTAAAAGCATTTGATTTTATATAATATTACGAGAAAATATAATTATAACTTTTATATATTCTCACACACACATACATATATACATATATACATATAGAGAGCATATCAAGTGAGAAGAATTTATTATGAGAATGTGAGAAGGTGAAAATATAACCCTTAAATTAATCAAGTGAGAAAAAATTTGGGATTTAATCAAGTGAGAGAAAATTAATAGAGTTATATTTTAACATATATATATATTATAGATAAATTAGGTCATATTTTAAAACTGTTGCCTTTAAATATTACTAGAGGAATGAGGTATTAAGTGCCTTTGTAATATTTTAAAAAAATAATAAAATGAGTGATTACGGATGTTGTTGTGGGTGAAAATAGACAATTATTGATGAGAGATTGCGTAGAAATAAGAAAGAAAAAAAAAAAAGACAATTGATGCATTCACCAATAATAAAATATTATTAGTGAAAAGTGATATTATACATGTCTATAATTTTTTAATTAAAAAAATGAAAAAAATAATAATAAAATAAGTAATTATTTAAATAGTGAGTGAAAAATATAAATATTTTCGGCGAAAAATTGTACACAAAAAGTAAGAAGAAAAAAATGTAAACAATTGATATATTCATAATACTGTTTAAAGGTAAAATGATTTCAATAAAATGAAAAAGAAAAATTAGTAATGACTTATGAGTGAATATATCTTTCTTTATTGTATAGATAAAAACAAGACTTAATTAATAAGCTGTTGTGGCGTTGCCTAAGAAGATGAAATAAATAAAAATGCATGTGGGAAACATATAAACTCAAAGCAACTTAAAATCGTTCATTAACAGTGCCCCAAATTAGCTACAGACTTAAAACATGTCACAAATGTGCCTCCAAAAAATTTAATAAATCAGTCACAAAACAAACTTAAAATAACTCATAAATAGTCCCAAATAGCCCTATGAGCACATAAATTACCACAAGATGGACCTAAACTAGCTTTGAACCAAAAACCTCAAATCAGTCCCAAACAAAAACAATCACAAAAACAAACCCCAAACTTGTTGGCACATGTATGCAAACAGTTGCAACACATTGGGCCGAAAAATGATCACAAGTGGGTTTCCCACTCAAAATGAGACTCTAACGTGTTTCATTATGAGCAATGAAGATGGTGCAGTCCAGGGGCATCTTTCTTTCATTCCTACAACCACTTTCTCCAAGTTTTCTTTCAAAACTCCATTGTCAATCATAGTTCCAACCGTTTCTTGATTCTTGTATTTGATTCGCTTGCCTTGTTTTCTTTATTCTTCGCAAATTGATTTGTTATTATATTTTAAAGGGTTCTTCAAAGTTGAAGGGTTTAGTTTAGTAATGTATTTTTGGATTGGATTATAGTCACTGTTACAACTATCTTAAGAGTGAGGGAAAGAGGGTGGAGAAGGATGTTACACTTTTGGCAAAAGTTCAATTCGTCGTAAGTAGAAAAATGTACATAAATCTAAATATTGAATACTTGCATATTAATTAATTAACCTAATTTAATATTAACTAGGGAAAAATATATTTATTTCAAATATGCAATAAAGATTAAAAAAAAACATTTTTGTTGGTATTTAGAGTAATAAAAAGATTGAAAAGATAATTGAAAAATTAAAATAAAAGATGTCAAAAATTAATTTCACTAATCTTTCTCACATGTATCATTCCCCATTATTATTCAATTTTAGTAATTATCAAGTTAATTCAACAAACAACGAAAATATTTTAACACTAATTCGTTAGGTGAAAAATTCTAAATTGCTTAAAAAAAATGCCAATTCTTTTGTAAATTTGTTAAAAATGAGTTGATCAAAGAAGTGTTTTTCTATTATTTTTGAACCTTATTTTTAAAAGATTTAAAATGTTTTTTTTTCTTCTTTTAATTGAGCTTGCGATGTCCATTTACTCGGAACATTTAGATGACTCGTTTAAGTTAGTTACTCATGGTGTTTCAAGAGTATCTTCTAGGTTGATGAGTGTCTAGAGTGCTTTTCTTTGATTTTAATTACGAGAAATTATAAAAATTTAAGAAATTTGAAATTCTTGATATTTGTTTTACTTTGATTTCAATTTTCATCATTATTTCTCTCAATTATTTTTTTATCATTCTTAAAATATTTTGTTTGGATAAATTAATTCAAATTTTTAAAATTTTACATTTTTATTAGATATGATAATTTGATTCATCATGGTAAACTTGATTTAAATAATATATTTATATGTTAAGATTTTAAAATTAAATTTTATAAAATAAATATTAACCAATTTTTAAATATTTAATAATTTTAAATTTTAATATTAAATAATATTTAATAATTTTAAAAATATTTTTAAATATTCAATAATTAAAAAGATAAAATATA